GGAAACAAAGAGAGCTTGACAAGGGAAAAAGAAGCAACTCAAACTACTCTTTTAGGAACTGCTGGATCAAGTCAACAGGCAATGAATGCCTGGATAAATCAAAATCTATTGGTGAATTGCTCTTTGTATCATAGAATTTACACAAGCCAGAAGCTTCATAATCAAGGCCTCACTTTCAACTCAAAAACATTATTGTCAATCTGTGATGACCATACCCTCCATTGGAGCTACCAGTACAAAAAAGGTCAAGACTAGTAACACCCAAAAGAGAAAAGCTGTCAAACCAAATGACAATCAGCAGTACAAAATGTTAAAACTTCTCATATTTTCATTAATATGTTTTGACATAGTTTTATAATATGTGAAGGAGAGGAGGAACCGCAACCAAATATCCTCGAAACCCATGCTTGTTTTCGTAAAATTAAGAAATGCACAACAGAAAGTTCATACAATTATCTTACCAAGAGATGAACAATCCTTTAGTGGCGTTCACCATCTCGTATCAAAACCCTCAAAAATTCTAAACTGCAACAACAGCAACAAAATCCAAGAGATGAGACCAAAATACTTCATTATAATGATCCTAAACCTTAGCTTACAAAGGATGAGAGAGATGATATGCTAAGCCAAAGCTTAATGGTATAACTTCTAGTCCTAAGAGTCACAAGAAAAAATTAATCAAGGCAATGAAAATAGTTCCATTACATAACAAAGCAGTCTCTGTTAAACCATATACATATTTAGCTAGGGTTTGATGGATTCAGTGCCTAAACTAATTCTTTTATGCAAAATAATATAAGATGGATTCACCATCTTGCATTTTTGTTACAACAAGTAAGAAATAATTGTAGCCTCTCGCATTCTATGATAGTTAGTAAAATACGGAACGGGAAAAATACGAATAAAATACGTACATGTTTTATTCGGAAAAATTTTGGCAAGTTATAACTGAAAAGTTCGGACACTATGTAATATTTTAATTTTTTAATATATATTATTATTATTCAATAGATGGAAGCAACAATCCTTTTAAGTCACATCGAACATGAAGATAATGCATCAAATCATTAATGTACAGGGGTTGCTAAATAGCATGTGTGAAAAGAGCTCAGATAGCAACAAAATGGACATGAAAGGCCATCATCAGTCATTTTCTACAGAAAATTATATTCCCCCACATTATACCACATCATCACAGCACTATTTAGCTGTATTAACTTCTGCATTTCTGAGGCAAAAAGAAAAAAACTTGCGTTCACCACCTTCGTGATGAGCATTAGTACTAAGGATTTTATCAACTTGAATTCAGTACTATTACCTTTTCTCCAGCTGCAAGAAGAAAGGCTGCTAAATTAAAGGCATAGCCCACACAATGGGTGCCAACAGGACTCTATAAGCTCTGCATAGTATCATAGATAGCCATGCTCGGAGTACGCTGCAAAATGGTCCAACTATTGTACATGTTGTACTTCTGAACTGGTAATTGTAAAAAAATTCAAATTGATTGCATCCAGCTACACCCAGGAATCTTGGTAAATCCTTTCTTCTCCATAACCTTTCTCAATCTCCTCGCGTCGTCCCATCTCTCAGCAGAAGCATAAATGTTGGCAAGAAGAGCATAATAACCGCTTTTATCAGGCTCCAATTTAAAGCAATTCCGAGCAGCAATCTCTCCAAGCTCAACATTGTTGTGTAATGAGCAAGCAAGAAGCAAAGCTCCCCAAACCCCAGCTTGAGGTTGCATAGGCATGCTCCTTATTAGCTCAAGTGCTTTGTCAAACTGTCCTGCCCTGCCGAAAAGGTCGACCATGATCCCATAATGATCTCCTGAAGGCACAACTCCATGGTCATTCATTGAATTAAAGCATCGGTAGCCTTCTTCAACCAAACCAGCATGGTTATAGGCAGTTAGTAGCCCAGTGTATGTGACCAAATTTGGGTAAATTTGGGCGTTTACCATCTCCTCAAACATCTTGGTTGCATCAACTGCCTTACCATTTATGCCACAACCCAAGATCATCGCCGAATAAGCAACTACATCTCTCTTTTTCAAGCCTTGAAACAACTTATATGCCCTTTCAATGTCTCCGCATTTTGTGTACAAGTCAACTAAAGCAGTAGCCAAATGATCATCTAATTCAATTCCATCCTTACTCATATATGTCTCAATCCATAACCCAAATTTCAAATCTCCTAGTTGTGAACTAGCAGATATAACACTCGCCAAAGTCATCTCATTCGGTTGAATATTCACCTCCGGTTTAAGCATCTGGTTGAACAGCTCAAGGGCCTCCTTTGGTTGACTATTTTGCGCATAGCAAGCTATCATGGCATTAAACGAGAGCACATCTTTCTCACTCGTCTGATCAAAGAGTTGACGAGCAGACTCAACATTGCCGCATTTTGAGTACCCGCTAATCATGGCAATCCAAGAAACTTTATTTCTTAATGGCATGGAATCAAAAATGCTTCGTGCCAATTCCATTCTTCCACAATCCGCAAAACCACTAATCATTGCATTCCAAGAAGCTGAACTCCTCTCTGGCATTTGTTGAAACAAGAAAAACGCCTCGTCCATATTTCCTATTCTTGCATACCCCGAAACCATTGAATTCCAAGACACAACATCCTTATTCGGAATCTCATCAAACACCACCTGAGCCTCTTCCATATTCCCAGCTTTCAAATACCCAGATAATATAGAATTCCAAGAAACCACATTCTTCTCTGTCATTCCATCAAACACCTTCCGTGCAGTTTCCATGTCACCCAGTTTAGAATACAAGTCCACAAGGGCAGTTTGTACATAAACACAGCCGCAAAACCCATACTTATGAACCTGGGCATGGATTGAAATCCCACCCACCTTATGTACAATCCTAGCACATGCCCTTAGAGCTGAGGACACAGCAAAACTAGTTGGGCACAGTCCTAGCCTTTTGATTTGAACGTAAAGGGACAAAGCCGTTTTGTACTGGAAATGCAGAGAGAAGAAACGAATGGCACAACCCCATGAAAAGTCATCTGGGTTTTGCAAATTGTGAAGGATTTGGTGCACATACTGAGCTATAGTTCTAGAGTAAGTGAAATTTGAGTGGAGGACTTGGCGGAGCAAGAGGCTCTGAAGCTCGTTAAGGCCATTGGTGATAATGGGTGCATGGATTTGTTTTAGTTGGTTCAAGGTTAGACTTTTATTCAGTAAAAATACAAGATTCGGACCATTTGGATTCATGTTCTTCTCCTCTTCATGCTTTGGAAAGGTAGTGGGAAGAACTGAGACCTAGTTTTCTAAACCTTCTCCAAGTTCAGGTGGCAAATTTTGCACTTTCAGATAGTTGAGCTTTGCTTTGATCGCCTTCTTAGACAAGACATAAGAGTGCCAGAGTTGAGTTGATGATGGGCTTGGGCCTAAAGGCCCAGTAAGCCAAGCTCAACTTGGATTTCCTAGGCCTTGTTTTGTTGTGAACTTGGATGAAGTGGTCCAAATGATTACTGAGATTTTCTCTCTTTTTGTTTTTGACTAAGATTTCTGATATTCTTCAAGGCATTTGAAGATTTTTTTTAAAAAAAATTTATTTGGATTAAAGGCCAAAGGCCAATGACTTTCTCTCCTCGATCTCTGATATTCATCTTTGTTCTACTGTTTCTGCCCTTTATCTCATCTTTTCAATCTATATTTCTTCTCCTCGATCTCTTATATTCTTCTCTGTTCGATTGTTTAAGTGCTTAATCTAATACCTACGGGCTGTACTACATCACCACTGTTGGCAAAATCTGATTGCCAAACTCTTCCTCTATATTCTGCCAAATGAAGGTAACACGTTCCCGGTACTACATTCCCAGAAAACAGAAGATTTCTTAGAGAAACACAATCAAAATGGGATTCCACTAAAACTCCATTAAGTTGAAATCCACTCAAAAAAGTTGGCTTAAGATGTCAATTTGATCTACTTTTATTTTTTATTTTGTATCAAGCTCACCAAGATAGGTTTAGGGAAGATTTGGAATTGACAATAGAAATCAAATACTAAATGCACAGGATGATTTGAAATATTTGGATAAAAAATACAAAGAAAAAAAGCTTCAACAGAGATGTAAAAGGAAATTGGTTCAAATAATCAGCATGAGTGGACTGCAAGCCTCCTTGCTGGTGATACACAAAATAAAGGGCCATCCCAAGCTGTGTTTCATATCTAATTTTATAACATGTACCTATAACCTTCTAGGTCAACAAACTGTATGTCCAATTCATATGAAATTAACTGTAATGACTTACTAGAGCATTCCACAAGTCTCTCAGATAAAAAAAGTTATCATGCTAAATTGTAACTTATTCTGTTTATTTCAAAAGAATCAAACCAAGTTGAGCATATTTATTTTCCTGAAAATGGTAGACTAAAGAAGGCTTCATACCAAAGAAGGGAAGAATATAACAACTTAGATGGCATATCAAGAATAGAACAAACAATTATAATTTTTACCATACAACAGAAACAAGCCAACCTCAGTTTTTATTTTGTGATTATAGGCTGTAATCAGCCACATCCTTGCAGTCTCTCAACGATACTTCATTGAGGAGCAAAGAAACAAGTCTAAGATGATACAACAAACAAATAAATAAACAATCTCATTATATTAGATAATACAACAAACAAATAAACAATCTCATTATTGCCGCATAGCCCAAAATTCAAACAGAGAAATTTTTAGGAAACCAGTAGACAAGAACCTCATTCAAACACCATATTGGAGTTAGCTGCACTAGGATATTTACAACCAATATCTTGGATATACGATAACTTTTGGCACAAAACCATCAAAATTCGGAAGGATTAAAGAAATGTATACAAGCCCATAATTTAGTTACCTGGATTGAAGGCTCTTATTAACTTTGCCGTAGAACTCAACCGTCAAGTTGGGGTTTTTAGCTCCAAAAATTCCTTAGTTTTGTTAAAAGAAAAGCAAATCAATTATTGATACGTCGCAGAAAAGAAGACCAAACTTATCTAAAAAGAGAGGCAGTGGGTACCTAAATATTGAAGCTTTAACCCATGCGGGAGAGAACCTGAGAGGAGGAGCGAGTCTAGCTTGGGGCTGAAAGCTTGGAGCAGAAGTGGTCGGGTGAAAAGAGACTGCCACTTTCGCAAACAGAGATAGGAATTTGGGAGCTTGGGATAGAGGAAGACGAAATAGACTGAGGGGGGATCCGCTAGAGCCGGCAACACTTGTTCTCTTTCTTTTTTTCTTTTTCTTTTTTTCTTTTTTTCTCTCTGGTTAAAGGTTTTTCCTTGCTTCGCAAGATTTTAAAAAGAAATTAAAAATATAATTTAATACGAAAAGATGTGGATATGGGAATAAATTTTGTACAAAAGGCCTCAGTGCTGTTAGTAGTGGGCCTCTATTTTATGCGTGTTGGTACACTAAACCAATGCATAGGGCCACCACTCACACTAATGCGTGTTGGTACCAAATTCTCGTAGGATTACCCCACTGGCACTATGCAATGCTAGTACCAAATCCCGCATAGGTCCACCACTAGCACCGATATTGTCCCCAACTTAGCCACCTAAATCCAATAGATTTCCTTTTGGTTATTATTGTCAATCTGTGATGACCATACCCTCCATTGGAGCTACCAGTACAAAAAAGGTCAAGACTAACACCCAAAAGAGAAAAGCTGTCAAACCAAATGACAATCAGCAATACAAAATGTTAAAACTTGTCATATTTTCATTAATATGTTTTGACATAGTTTTATAATATGTGAAGGAGAGGAGGAACCGCAACCAAATATCCTCGAAACCCATGCTTGTTTTCGTAAAATTAAGAAATGCACAACAGAAAGTTCATACAATTATCTTACCAAGCAAACTCAATTTTGGCTACAGTCCCCTGCCAGCCCAGTTTCGTAGGTCATATTGCAAGCTTTGTTTCAGAAACCTACATAGCTCGGATGAGGCCACATTCTTCATGAAAGTTGTTCCAATGGGTATGTAACAGTTTAGAAGCAAATGTCTATGTGTGACTAAATAAATCGGAACAACGTCAACCAATTTTTTTCAAAAAGCTCTGTGGCTCGCTTCAATGTGTTCAAATAAGAGCTACAGTTGACAAAGAGCTGGAAGAGAGATTTGATACAAATACAATGTGACCAATTTGATCTGTAAAGGATTCAAGTAGGCTTCTCATAAGAATTCTGATCTCTAAATTCGGAAATGGCGCTTCTTATCATTTCAGCTGCATGAGGCTGCACAAACAGGTGAGTACTATCCAAGACATGTATTATGAATTGCTGTGAAGGGGGCAGTGTATTGTTGTAATTGATGATGAATTGAGCCATAGGTATGTCGCTGCACAAGAGAATTACAAATGGTTGGTTTCGGAAACAAAGAGAGCTTGACAAGGGAAAAAGAAGCAACTCAAACTACTCTTTTAGGAACTGCTGGATCAAGTCAACATGCAATGAATGCCTGGATAAATCAAAATCTATTGGTGAATTGCTCTTTGTATCATAGAATTTACACAAGCCAGAAGCTTCATTATCATACCCTCCAGTACAAAAAAGGTCAAGACTAACACCCAAAAGAGAAAAGCTGTCAAACCAAATGACAATCAGCAATACAAAATGTTAAAACTTGTCATATTTTCATTAATATGTTTTGACATAGTTTTATAATATGTGAAGGAGAGGAGGAACCGCAACCAAATATCCTCGAAACCCATGCTTGTTTTCGTAAAATTAAGAAATGCACAACAGAAAGTTCATACAATTATCTTACCAAGAGATGAACAATCCTTTAGTGGTGTTCACCATCTCGTATCAAAACCCTCAAAAATTCTGAACTGCAACAACAGCAACAAAAACCAAAAGATGAGACCAAAATACTTCATTATAATGATCCTAAACCTTAGCTTACAAAGGATGAGAGAGATGATATTCTAAGCCCAAGCTTAAATGGTATAACTTCTAGTCCTAAGCGTCACAAGAAATAATTAATCAAAGCAATGAAAATAGTTCCATTACATAACAAAGCAGTCTCTGTTAAACCATATACATATTTAGCCAGGGTTTGTTGGATTCAATGCCTAAACTAATTCAACAAAATCCTTATAAAAGGCTAGTGATGTGTCATAAACTGCAAAAGGGTCTCTTATTACGCCTTTATGGAGACTCTTGTTTCTCTCAGCCCAAATTATCCAAGCTATCACCGAGAATAAACATAAATCCTCCTCCTGGAAAATACTACGAACATGTTAAAAGAGATCCATGAAAGAACATACCCGTTGTGTCCTAACTAGTTGATAGAAATGGGAACACTTCCAAACCCGTCATGCAAACTTACAAGACCATAACGCATGCACCAAATCATCATCAGCTCTCAAACAATGAGTACATACACCTGAGGATATCACATGTCGACGTGCAAGAGTAGCTCAGTATGGAATAACATTTTTTAGTACACGCCAAAGGAAAAATCGTACCTTAGGCGGTAATTTCAACTTCCAAAGATGTTTCCACACGCTTTGTATAGTTAGGTAACTAGACTCCCCTTGCCTTAACCTCCCTTTCTGTCCTTGTTTTTCAAAGCATGCAACCCAATATCCACTTCTCACTGTATACTTCTCATTGCAGATAAAATAGTTGCAACATCATGGGCCAAAAAATATCGATCAATCAACTCAATATTCCATTCACCTGATGGTGTCAAAAGATCGCATACCTATTAATAGGAATAGTTGGAGGGGCCAAGAACGTAGTTGGTGTCGGTAGCCACCTATCAACATAAACACCCACTGACTCACCCCTCTCAATTCTCCAACGGAGGCTCTTCTTCAACAAATGTTGCCCTTACATCACACTACGCCATAAATATGAGGAACCATGACCTGCATAAACTTCCAGAAAACTTCTCCTGGTACAATTCTTTTCTCGGAGTAATTGAGCAACAAGAGAATGTGGTTAAGTATGAATTTTCCATGCCATTTTAGCCAACATGGCTCGGTTAAAAGCTTGTAAATCTCTAAACCCCAAACCCCATTCTTGCCCTTGCATAAATCCTCTCATTTTAGCCAATGAATTCCCTTATCCCTCCCTATATGTGTCCACCAAAATTGAGCAATCAAATTTTAGATTTCCTTACAAATGCTCACTGGCAACTAAAAACAGCTCATGATATATGTAGGAATCGATTGTACAACCGCTTGATCAAAACTTCCTTACTTGCAATTGAAATGAGCTTTCCCTTCCAACTTTGTAACACTGTTCTCAATCTGTTTTTCATCTTTTAAAAAATTTGGCGTTTATTCCTACCAACCATTGTCGGTAAATCAAGATACTTCTCATGAAAGGGAACCACTGGGATTGGAAGAATAAACTTAATAATACCATGTAATGCAGGTTCTAAGTTAGGACCAAAAGTAATAGCTGATTTCTCCAAGTTATTATTATTATTTTTTTTGGCATGATGCTCTTTCATATAAAGTAAAGATCTCTTTTAAAGCCAAACATTGAGCTGGAGTTGCATGAGCAAACAATAGGCTATCTTCTGCAAAGAGTAGATGTGTTATGGAAGGTGCGTTCTGTGCTACTGACACACCACAAATAGCTCCATGCATTTCAGCTTGTTTCAAAATACTTGAGAAACCTTTATTTCATAATAAAAATAAATAAGGAGAAAGGGGGTCTCCCTGTCGCAATCCTCGTTGCGGCTTAAAAATGGTAGAAGGCTTCCTTTTCCATAAAACTGAATAAGAAACCGAGGTTACACATTTCATGATCAAGGTCGCCCACCAAGGTGCAAACCCCAATTTCTCCATAATCTTCTTAAGAAACAACCATTCCACGCGATCGTAGGCTTTACTAATGTCCAACTTCAAAACCATTTTGGGCATTCTTGTAAACTTTTGTTGCTTGATAGTATGCAAACTCTCAAAAGCAGCTACTATATTATCAAATATGCATCTCCCAGACAAAAAAACACTTTGAGAAGGCAAGATCACTTATGGCAAGACTAACTTCAATCGATTAGCAATGGATTTTGCAATGATCTTATACACCACATTGCACAAACAGATTGGACGATATTTTCTGGCAAATTGTGGGTTTGGTATAGTTGGAATAAGAGAGATAAGTGTATGATTAAGACCATCCAGCTCCATTTCCCCATTTAGAATAGCAAGACAAGTCTGTGATACATCCTTCCCAATAATTTCCCAAAATTTCTGATAAAATAAGGCAAGCATTCCATCAGGACCAGGTGCTTTTTGTGGGGGTCTTTTTGTTCCAGCAGCCTAACGAATGGGCTTGGGCTACTATGAGAAGAAAGCGAACAAAAAGATCCTCCTGAAGCCTGAGTTCAAGAACCAGACTCCCAAAAGAATTTTTTTAAAAGACTTGTTGAAGCCTTAGAAAAAAAATACGTTTGGGTTCTTTTCACCAACACTCAGAAGAACGCATGAAATTCATTAATGACTTAGCGTGAGGAGCTTATGGCATGGGAGCTGAGCTTTCACAGGTTTAGCAATCTGAGAGAGAGGGAGAGAGACCAAAGCATGAATTTCTTGCAGAGAAACAGGTTTTAGAGTGGGAGAGGGGAGAATTAGGATGGCTTCTATCTTAGAACAGAGAGAAACGTTGGGAGTAGAAGATGGGAAAATTCCAGTTCGCTTGACAAAGCTTGGTCTTGCTCTGGAATGGTGTGTGTTGCTGGGTAGAAGAAGCTCTGTTTTATAGGCGTTTGGAATCCTAATTTCGTCGATCATCCATTCCTACTTTTCCTTTCCCTTTCTCCAATTACTCCATTTCTTGTGCAAAATCATTGACCAAAGCGCCTGAATCAATGGCTTCTTGTGGTTCCAAGGCTTTGTGCGGCTGAGCCTCTCCATGGGGGTAAGGCGCCACTTGCTTTCTCCCTTGGTTTTCAAATCAGAGCTTACAAAGGAAAACTGAGAACAGAGGAAGTTGTTTGTCCACTGGGTATTTCTCCTACACTTATGGATTTCCTATGGTCCTTGCTGTGATTCTGGGTTGACCACATGGGAGCTCTGGTATGGGTGGAGCTCGATGTTTGGATTTTCTAAGAGA